ACAAGCTTTCTGCGACTCTTTCACGAGAAAGTTGTATGGTCTACAGACCCATGGATTAATGTTAAGAGATCGATTTCCCGAACTTTTTGTTTATTCAGAACTTAAACCTACAGAGTGGTGAAATGGCGATAACTCCAACAATTATGGGTTCGAATGCAATCCACCCCTCCCCCCCAAATGAGAAGCATTAATTAAATGCTCTCAGGAGTCTTGGTTGATTTGAAATTCTCTTAATTGGATCCATGGTTTTGATAATCACTACTATTACATTAGGACAGAAAGACACTTCGTCAACACACATACCTGGTTAACCAGAAAAGACCTATTTATGGGATTAGGGTATTTGCTTTGAGATATTTTCATTCGCAAATAAGTTACAAATTTGGAGAAAGAAAGCTGCCAAAATTTGCGGGCAACAAACAACAGTGATTTATTTTGCCTAGAGGCAAAAAGGCGAGAAAATCAAGTTCGTTGGGTGTCTTTAGTTGAGTTGTGTCTTTAGGGATTGGTGGAAAGAGAACGAGAAATATATAGGATAATTATGGAGTGAATGATTGTCATTAATGGAAAAAATCTTGTTGCAATTGGAGCATTCAGTATTGATGGAAGCCAGCAGAAAAAAGAATTTTTAAAAAGCTATCTATTCAATTTCGGAAGGCACGAACCAGCTCTCATTCTATTTGGAGAACTAAAACTGCCTCTGCAGTATTATAAACGCGGAGATATATAGGCTTTGGTTTAATAGAACCAATGACAACTTTATGAAATGGAGTAACTTTCAATTTGGGTCTTTTCTTTGGTAAGACGTGGATTTGCTTCAAGCCTCTCTCTTAGCCCCTTTGAACTTGAAAAAGTTTAGTCCAGGAAATATGTTGTTTATCAACGAAGAGAGTGCAAGGGCAAAGTAGAAAATGGTTGCGGAGATGCGGTCTAAGATGCTGGGTCATTTCCCATTCTTGAGTTATTTCAAATAAGTGAATTTTCCAGATTACATTGAAGGGATAACGGATCAACAGTACTCGGGTCCAGATAGAATTCGTAATCGATGTCATCCGGTTGTCATTGAATATATCTTTCTCTGTCTGCATATTCTAGTCGTGATTTTGAGTTTATCTCAGCACCACACAAGTATAATGCATTTTTAGGGGTATCAGGTGCAAATCTGTAGCCAGATGAGCTCCAAAATCGGTGTATTGAATCGAATCACGACAAATGATTGCAATGTGACCCGGAATGACAAAAACACTGCTAAACCAAGCAAGTAAAATATTTGTGAAAATCAGCTAAATCCGCTTAATTAACAAACTAAAGCCTACTTTCCAGTAATTAATTATATAGTCACATAAAGTAATTTGAGCAAAAGCCCAGCTTTAAAGGCTCGGCAGTGTTTCTGAAAACAGCCTTTGTTTTCCATTGCGCATTTGGCTAGAACACAATTTCTGTGTAAAATGTTTTCATAGCAGTGAAATGGCGGCCACGTTAGTCCTTTTCGCATCTGATGTTGCGAATAAGCATGTTGTGTTTTCAAATAAACATAAATTAAATCATAGAAACTTTCTACTGGAGTTGCAGTCTCTTTTCTTTCAAAATAGGTAGATATGTCATAGAGAGATGGTATATGCCGTGACTATTGAAACTTTGCAACGAAAAGTCAACAAAAACAATAATCGTAGTATCGATGTTGTGTGAAAATCGAAACACGTGAATCAGCTCCCTATCGCGTTTAACTGTTATCCAAAATGTCGTTTATAGATAAGCTGTGTCGTGCGATACTCCTCGATAACTAATTCCAATACATTTGAAATATTCTTCCTCCAGCTAATAGTGGCCGTTTTGCATTTATTTTATGCCTTCGTAAAAAAGCCCGGTTTATGATTATAAGGAGGGGGCCACGAATGTGCACGCCAAAGGAGTAAAAGATGGAAGGAACAGCACTGTAGCAATGCGGTGGACGCGCAGTAGGAGAAAAACCATTTCTGAGATTTAAGGAAAAAACATAATAGCGCAGGACATGACATGAATGAGCTTTTTCGAGAAAACATGGCGCAGTTTGGTACCTTATGGCTTGAGAATACATTATAACTTAGGCAATGTATTATAGCAATGGTTGGATGAAGGTCAAAGATGGAGAAAAGTGATCATGAATGATGATCAAGGATATATGTTTGGTGGTGATTGCCATTGATTATTATGATTGATGATGGTGATTGGAAATGATCATTGTAAAAATGACTGAAGACGATTAAGTTTGATTATGGTGATTGATGTTGATCATGTTGATGATTGAAAATGATCGTGGAGATGATTGAACATGATCGTGGAGATGATTATGATAACAATCATGAATAATACGATAGATCATGATAGCCCACAATCATGTTGCAGATAGGAGGATGATCCTCTGGCAGCCTATAAGGTGAATTAAAATATTTCCAGCATATTCTAAATTTCACAGTTAATTTTCATTATCTTAAATTTTACTGCTGTATTACTTAGTTGATGACCACCTTGGTCGTCATTCAAGTTAGCAAAGAACTCAAGTAATAAAATTCATTTACCGATACTTGTACTCGATATTAAGCAGTGCATTTAAATCACTAGGCTTTCCATTCAAACAAATCCTCAATTGCGTGGTGTAATTAATCGTGTCAAGGAAGATAAGCCACATGTAATCTGCTTTTATCCGAAATTTCCAGTAACGGTAACCATTCATAAACAAATTTTTGGGGCAATAAGATATCTTAATCTTAAATAACTGTATATTTTTCATTGAGGCTTGTGAAATCTGAACTTAGATTATGCGACGTGTTCAACAGCCGGCATGCCTCAAGGGTTAAAGTGATATTAGTTTGTAGTTCGTGTATTCTTTACATTTTGCTTTAAACGATGTTAAAAGTTCACGACGGTGTTAACATAGGCTAAAAAGTCGATGAGTCCCAAAGAGATGTAGGCTAGAATGGAATTACATGGGCGGTTATGGAAAACAATACGGGAGAGTAATAGAATACACTGCGATCTAAAGAACAAGAATGTACTTCGTCAACTAACAGTGTACTTCGGCGCAACACTTCATACCACGAAACAAGAAAACATAACACCAATACCATAGCAAAAATTAACAGCAATCGCCTCACTTCATGCCTCAATAAGACCCATCCTTTAACATCACACATAACAAGGTAACCCCAAAGAGTCCATAGAGCGTTGAACAATAAAGCAATGTTATCATCTATTCTTGACGGTATCACTAGAAAAGTGGTTTTTGTATGCAATGGCAAACATTTTCGGAAATCATACCTCACATGCCAGAGATAAGCAATTGTCATCAACTCTTCGACGCGATCGAGAAACTAACCGCAGAAGGAGAACTTGGCGCTTCTACGCGCAGTGACAACATCATATGGCATCTGACGTACACGTTTTTTTATAAGAAAGTATTTCAGAAGAAAGTTGTGCCCTAGGTTCATCAAAAAGTTAAGTAAATTCAGGGCTGGATCTTGGAAACCTATAAAAAATGGAACAATTTAGATATTCAAAGTTTCAAAGGAAATTGTGGTGTACGAGTGAAATATTTCTACAATACAGTAATGTGCTGAACAGGAAACGACAAATACAGTATGAGGTTGACCGTTTTTGAGAAATATAGCATATTTATAGCATTTCATCTTCTCCATCACTGCGCATGCTTAGTAACGTAAAACTTTCCAATTTTAAGTTAAGAAAGTGTTAGGAAAGTTGTGTTAGGAAATAGCTAAGAAAGTCTGAGGGCTGGGCTGAAAAAACTTTCTTATAAAGAAAACGTGTATATACAAATGCAGCATTTATATGCATAACAAGCTTTATGTCCATGGTATCTTTTCTAGAATAGCTTACAGATTTTGGCACAAGAGGGTTCAGTTTGAGTTCGTGTAAAAAGGAATGCGTTTGTCGAAGGAGGAAGGCAAAATGAGATCGTTTAAGAGCAAAACAGCTATCCATAACATCAAATATATTTTATTTATAGCTTTGAAAAAAGCAAACATTTAGTAAACTAAAGCTTTTCGTCTGACACTCTTCAGAGTTTAAAACGTCAGAACATAGATCGAAAACTCTACGCTAAGAAATATATATACCCAGTTGTGGATCGAAATAGGCCAATCAGAAACACTAGCACATGACTGTAAAGGTTGACCAATCAGTGCCGCTTGCCTATTAGAATGTTACCAATGGAGTCCTAAGGTGAAAACGAACTCCTTTTGTCTACACAGTAGCGGTTTTTTCGTGCTTATGTAGATAGATTCTAAAACTGCTAGGTGGAACGACGATCGGGCTTTACCAATAATCCGAAACATGTCGCCATTATAGTTTTTTGCACAAACTGGGTTTTCTAGCAAATGCTGCCCGATAGCAGAATCGCAGGTCTTATTAGTAATTTTGGATTTGCAAGACCGAGGTGGCTGTTCTCTTTTGGGATGTTACCAATGTTACCAATGGAGTCCTAAGGTGAAAACGAAACATCCCAAAAGAGAACAGCCACCTCGGTCTTGCAAATCCAAAATTACTAATAAGACCTGCGATTCTGCTATCGGGCAGCATTTGCTAGAAAACCCAGTTTGTGCAAAAAACTATAATGGCGACATGTTTCGGATTATTGGTAAAGCCCGATCGTCGTTCCACCTAGCAGTTTTAGAATCTATCTACATAAGCACGGAAAAACCGCTACTGTGTAGACAAAAGGAGTTCGTTTTCACCTTAGGACTCCATTGGTAACATTCTAATAGGCAAGCGGTGGTCAACCTTTACAGTCAT